GAAGAATGGAGTAGGTGGGAAAAGCTTCCAGAAGCTGACAAGTCAGGGCTATGGTGAGAGAACCTCAAGTTTCTGCTCCCCACAGGAGCCAATAAGGGGAGAGAGAGCAGTCAGTGATTCATTGATGGATTGCTGATGGATTAGCAAGTGGAAACGTGGGGTCCACTCAGTCAGCCCGATGTTCAACAAACAAGGCAGGTGCAGGTGGGTGAGAGCAGGTTGGTGGGAGGGCAGGGGAGTGCTGGAAAGGAAGCGAGGCCTCACAGGAGCAGGTGGAATTCTGATGCACCTGAGGCCACGCTCTGTGTGCATTTTCTCAGTGAGACTAGCTGGAGATCAGGGAAGTGATGAAGGTGAGGCTGAAGGGCTTGATGCCAGGTAGTGAAGACTCCCATAAACCAACTGGAAGTGCCTGGAAAGAAGCTGAAAGCAAGAAGTGAAAGGTCCCAGTGCTGTGGTAGACAGGGATGTAAGGAGCTGAGGGAATGAGATTTCATCAGTTGGTTGAATGGCAGCAGAATGGATGTATGAGCATCCATGTGTCGATGGCAGCAGAATGGATGCATCAGCCCACTTCTACCCCTGCCTTGGCCCATGTACCAGGTCCTACAAGGGACAGGTCAGAACCCTCCCCACTCTCATCCATCTTTGCAATAAGTTGAAATTGCCCCTTCTCTTCTCATATTTCCTCACTGGACAACCTGCAGATGCATGGGAAAGCCTTGAATAGAGACTTGCAGTACAGAAAACTGGAGGTCAGCATGTTCCTTGGTATGCGCAAAAGATCACTTTTTTTTTTTTTTTTTGTCTTTTTTGTTTTTACCGGTACTGGGGATCGAACTCATGACTGCCTGCTTGCAAGGCAGGCACTTATGCCACTGAGCTAAATCCCCAGCCCCCCAAAAGATTACTTTCAAAGGGGCCCCATCTGGTGGAGGAGCTCACTCATTCATGGTGCTTCGTGTGATGTTAGGGACAGAGAGCTCCTCTGCCCCAGGAATACTGACTGCAGCTGTGCAGAAGTTATGATGTGATGGGAGCTGGTGAGACATACTTAAAAGAAGAGATACAGAGAATTTGAATATTGTGGAGAGAACATACTAGTCAGTGATATTTGCATGAAAAATATAGATGCAAAGATGTGTGTGGAGTGAGTTCATTGTCTTGATAGGACATTCTGTGTCAGGACATAAGGTTAAGACTAGAAACTGGGGCACTTTACAGGAGAAAAGATTTCTGTGTTTTTTTTGTGGACAACAAAAGTCATTGCTGGTGGTAGTTTAGGATGAAATACTGGAAAGTATGGCATGAGTGAAAGTTGATCTCAGAGTGGGTTGGCGAGCTAAGTCTGGAGTCTTGGAGGTGGTTGAGAAATGTGGGTGAAAGAAACAAAGCCACTTTCATTTTCCAACAATCTTAAAGCATATCATCATCCTTTTGTGATCTCTATTATGATAAATTTCCTAAGTACTTCCTGTTGCAAATAGGCAAACTTAAAAGAGATTATGTTAAATTATTCAAAAAAGTAAGGTGTCAGGTTGGTACAGAAGTACAGAATCAAACGTTTTTTTCTAGACTACAAGTAATCTCCTATCATATCATACAGCAAAAGCTGTATCTTGACACTATACCAAGATTGTTTGAGGTGAACCTCAAATCAGCTTTGAACTCAGCCATTTGTGTATGACATGAGAGACTGTTTCCTGTCTTCAGTGGATCACTGCAGTGGTTCTGTAAGCTTTTTTATATATGTTTGTCTCACTGGACTCAACTCCTCCAAGGCCATGATTGTATCTCATTCATTGTGTATTCTCAACCCCCAGCTCATTGCTTTAAAAAAATGTTGAATGGAGAGTGATTCATATTTAGGCATTTTTCTCTGGTCCTTGTTACTGTGATTCACATTGTAATTCAAGTTTAGCAATGATTCATAGTTCTCTGGATATTAAGGAGTTTGCCTGGACCCTTTGGGAGGAAAAGTACTGTAGCAGCTGTACTTTGGTCTCAGTTACAGTGCTGATTGCTTAGAGGTATTTTGCCGTATATGGGCTCTGGTGATGATGCTTGAAAACTTGGCAGCCCTGTGCTTTTAGCAGGAGCAGGTGAATGAGAGGAATGGCAGTAAAAGGTCACTGGTTTTGATACTAAATGGTCTAGGACCCAGTGCTGGTAAACACAGCGCAGAGGGCCCTTGAGCATGCCTGTCCCTGCCTGGCCTCCTGTAAGGATAATGCCCCTTTGTCCTTCACCACCTAACCCATGACATCCTCAGCTTCACCTTTCCTAGCCACCTCTCGTGCTCACTCTGGTTCCCTAATCTGTGTTTTCGTAGGACCTGTGATTTTTTTTTTTCACAGCAAGTAGTTGGTGTGGTAATTATCCGTCCATCGTATATTAGTCCATACCTTTCACAAGGGCGGGCATATACCTACTCCTCTCAACCAACATCTAATCCAGGACCCAGCACAAACTGTTCTGGGTAGACACGTGTGGAGCCATGAATTGTGGTGAACCTTGAACATGAGTCACCTTCCTTGCCTGTTTAAAACCTGTATACTAAAGGTTATTGCTGAGATTCTTTCTCTCCAAAAATCAGTGTGTTAACTTTTCACAATTTTTTTTTTACTTTATTGTAATAGTTATTCACACCTATAGTTTGCAGTTCAAGCCTTATAAAAAATGTAAAATGGAAGTGTATTCATTCAGTTCAGAGGTAAAGGGGTTAAAAAAAACCTATCAATAGAATAAAAATTGAACTAGATGCTAGAGTGGGTTAACAGTGGAGTAGGATCATTACTGTTGTTTCCAGTCCCCATGAATTAGTCTTATATTCCAATTTCAAAATGCTTCATACTTTGTGTGGGACAAACTTTTATGGAGGAATCTATAGTGAGAACAGCCTCAGCTAAGATTCCCTTTGCAATTTGTTCCCTACTAATACATAGTTACTTCTTATGCAGATTTTACTGTCTGTGGCATTGTTTAATAAAGTAATAAGGTAGGAGGGTCAATTCAAGCCTATATGATTCAATGAATGTTTTAATAAATTATAGTGCTTAAAATAAATTAATATTTAAGTAAAGACTTTCAGTTTAAAAAGCACACTCATGTAGAATGCTTGGCTTCTATTATTGTTTTGTATGACTGTGACAAATCGTTGGACAAGTGGGGTTAATGAAGTCAAACTTCTTGAGTTTGGATGCAGATCTGTACAGTTAATTCTAATTGTGGAAAAACAAAATCATATAGTGCTTTTAATTGCCACAAATTTTAATCTCAAGGAAAAAATAGAGATTCATATTTTTGTTCATTTATTTAATGGCAGGAAAAATTTACCTTAGTCCAGTTTTTGATTGCAAAGAAAATATGAGAGAGGCTGCTACAGTGACCAGAGGTTTGGAGTGAGAGTCTGTGTATGTGTGTGCACATGCATGTGCATGGGGTGTGTGAGGTGTGCATGTGAGCAAGAACACTTGTGTTTGGGGAGGGTGTGCCTGTTTGGTGCCTAAGGGTGATCAGGAATAGACTAGTTCATTTAGCTGTTGAAACATCAGTGCAATAAAACGTTATCTATAAATCATGGTACCATCAATATATTCCACAGTAACTGAGATCTGTGGAGAAGGTGACTTTGGAGATAGGCCATCAATTGTACTGGGCTTATAAACCACCTGGGTGCTAGTGTGTGGCAGGTGAGGGACAGTAAGGGAGGAGCAGGGATGGGCCTCCTGCTGCCTTCTGACTCAGCCCTGAAGTGGCCCAGGGCCAGGAATTAGAGCAGAGTGAAGTCCACATTATAGGCTTTTCTGGGTATTGTTGGCAGGACGGCAGCTGTTTACAGACAGCTGGTTGCTTTAGAAGGCACCTCAAGCCAGATGGAATCCCTGGGCTAAGGCCTAACGGGCTCAAATGTTAAGGAGGTGTAAGTGAGCCTGGATAGGCATTTGCAGAGATGATTCTGTTTGTTTACTATCAACCAGATAGATTACTGTCAATCAAGATAGAGTACTACAGTAGTCAGTAGTACTGTACTCGGTGCCATGCAAAAGCCCACATACACAGCTGTGTTACCATGGCTTAAGTGATTGGACTGCAGGACTTCACCACCCAAATGCATCCCTAAGAAGGGTGTTCCTTGAGTACTTCTATTACCACGCGTTACTTCTCACTCTCCAAGGAGGAGCCTGTATAAAATGTAATATAGCGCAATTTCCTCTCCACCCTTTTTTCCTTACATAACTGAAAGACAATCCCTGCCCCACACTATTTCCTGAAATTTGTCCTTGTTTTTTTATGTTATGCATACTGTGTTAGAATAGCATACTAGTAATTTAATAAACACAATGCATCAAACATTTTATACATACTGTTGTAAATACTTCCAGACCTGCCAAATGGGCATTATTAGCTCATTTTCACCAGGAAAATAAGTCATATCCATAGAGCTAGTAATGGGCAAAGCTGGGATTTAAACAAAATTCTGTCATTTCAAAGCCCACTTTAAAAAAAATAACATTAACTATAGTTTTGGTAACATGTTATATACTGTGGAGTGTCTTAAATAAACTTGCACGGTAGATATCTACTGTAGCACAATCAAGGATGGCAAACTAAAGATTGGAAAATTTCAGTAACGTGCCAATATTAGTTAGTGAATATAGAATACAAATTTGAACCCATTTGATTTGGTTATAGAGACTTTCTTAAATAAACTTGCACGGTAGATATCTACTGTAGCACAATCAAGGATGGCACACTAAAGATTGGAAAATTTCAGTAACGTGCCAATATTAGTTAGTGAATATAGAATACAAATTTGAACCCATTTGATTTGGTTATAGAGACTTTCACGTATTGGAAGGCACTGTTGACTGATTTTTATGGCGGTGCTAAAAACTAAGTAAAATCAAGGTGAAAAGTTAAGGGCAGGGTGGTAAAGAAGATGTAGGACAGTGCAGATCGTGGGTTAAATAGACTCAGACTCTTTCTTTTCTTTTTAGATGTCAGCCTCTGGAGCAACCGGCAAGCCTTCTGGTGTGAATCCCACAGAAACTAAGGTATGAAGAGCCTTTAACAGTCATCCTGGGTGAATGCTACTACAGGTTGATTATATTATAGTTTGATTCACTTAGAAATCAAATGTGTACACTAATTGTTGACAGATGAATTATGTATCCTAGGAAGTTTATAGCATGGAAGTGAACATTTTCTTTCCAATTTGGAGTGAGGAGGATTGTCATCAAATGTTTACCTTGAGCATCACCTATGGATGTGTGTGTTGTTTTAGAATATCTAGAAAGGGGTAGTCAGTTGGAGTTGTTGGAGGTTTTGTTTGTTGTCCTTGACTTGATTAAGTTTCTGAATTGCAATAATCTATTCAAGAATATTTCTCTGGACCTAAGTTCTTAATCTGTGGATAAAATTTTATTCTTGACACTTAAAAACAAATATAAAAATAAGAAAAGTTACATAAAGATGATATAGAAACAAGTGAAACACACTGGTTCTTTTAGCTCCCTTTTGAACTTTCTGAATTTGGGTCATGAAGGGTACTGTTTTATTAGCAAACATTTCTGGAGTTCTATTTGGAGTTTGGGATTATAATTATTTCTTGGAATTTCAGAAGAAAAATTAAAGAGTATCCTCCATGTGTCATTGTCATGTAGAGTAAGTCTAGTTCTGAGAGTTGGCTAAAGTTACCTTATACTCTACTTTATTGTGTCTCAAACTCTTTATTTTTTGTGAGTAGTCCAAGGTATAAATTTAAGTGGGAACATTTGTAAAGTGCTTTCAACTCATAAATCAACATTCTTTAGTGCCTTTAAGAAGCATTCCAGCTTCTTTATTTTTAAATTGCCTGTTTAAAGTCTCCGGTGTTTATTTGCTTTCTGTCTTCTATATCACTTCCCAATCCCAAAGGGATGTGGTTCCACAATTTAGTGCAACCAAGAATCCCTTGGTCTCTTCCTAAATTACAATATTATAATATCAGAAAACCCATTTCTCTAAGCTTTTATAAATACCATTAATATTTATTTTAGTTTTTAAATTTATTTAAATCTAGAATTGTATTTTCATATTTTATATCAATTTCTTAATGTTTTCAAAATATACCTTACATGACTTATGATTATTCCACTGGCTGTCGTGACTTATTTATATCAAGCTTTATCTTTAAGAAGTCCTGTCATTTTTGCAATGCTGGGAAGCTAACCCAGGGCCTTGCACATACTAAATAAATACCATATCATTGAGCTATATCTCCCACCCCCAATGCGATCTTAATCATAAAATAACATCAAAAGACTAAAGGAGGAGCATCTATAAAACAAAATTCTATTTAAGTCTGCATTCGCTGAAAAGTAAAAGACAAAAAGGAGAGTCAGAAACACAGAATTTCCTTTCTATTCTTTTATCAGTGTTGCTGATTCTAATTCCCAGTGTCTCAAAGGCCAGTGCTTATTTCAAGGGTGTCATTTTTTAGGGCAAGTGTCAGAAAACTGTTCAGGTTTCACGAAACATTAATCATGAGGATTCTTGGCAGTCCTAGGAAGCCAGTGGTAGGGCTGGAAATGGGAGACAGAAAACAGGCAGACACAAAAATAAAATACGCATGATAAAGTGTCACCAAGGGTGACTCAGGACCACTTTGACCTCAGTTCTCTTTGCTCAGTTATACTATTGCCATCAGTTATCCTTTTGGGCTCCCCTTGGAGATATTTATGAGCTTCAGCTGGATGAGTTTATGTCTCCAAACATTTTGAGCTTTCAGAGAAAAGGTGCCAATTGAAGACAAATCTTCATCTTATTCTATACCTTTAAAACAAAAGACTATCTGCTAAGGGGCATGATAGATCTACATCAATGTTCTGTGTCTTGTCCCTGGAACATTAGAATAGCTATTCACATTCAAGGGTAAAATGGAAGGTTTCTAGTCACTGTGGAATCCCTGGGAGATTGTGTATCAGAGACACCGGAACCAGATGGCTGGGCTTGGAGTCCTGGTTCTATACCAGCTGTGATAGTAGACAGTTTGCTTTGGTTTTGCTATCTGCACAGTTTGAAGGAAAGTGATAGTAACACTCTTTCACAAGATTGACGAAGGAAACACACACACATCGGTCCTGCAGCAATTTCCCAATATGAGCTGGCTGCCGGCCAGTGCAGGAAAGAGTACATGCAGGGCAGTGACTGAAAGCACATGACCCTGCTCCAGGACAGATGACTTTGTGAAGTTATTTCATGTCTTTCACCTCCATTTATCATCTGCAAAATAGGTATAATAATAATAATAGCTTCATAGGGTTATTAGAAGTGCTAAATGAACTGGCATAGATAAAGCTTAAAAAAGTCGTCGGTGAATGATAAGGTCTGGTTGTTATTTGTCATTATTGCGTTCAGCATCACCACTATCTAAAATAAATTGAGTGATTACTGATTTAAATGCACATTACATTTTCAGTTGCTTGTGTTTGTAAGCATGCATTCTTAGTTGTAATATAAATTGGCCCATGCAAAATCTTGAGTGCCAAATGACAAATTGGAAGCCGTTAATAGATGCAAACCACTGCAGTACCAGCTGGCTTATTTTCCTTGTTAACCATTTAATAAATTGTATTTGCATGAACCGAAAAGCAACAACAAAAATGAATTCATAAACAAATAGAAGCTCATTAGCAAGGATGCAGTGTAAAAGGATTCCAAATGTAAAATTTCTTTAAAAACATGTTTTTGGTCATGAAGTTTGTTTTCTCCCCGAGACAATGTGTGTTGTTATGACAGGGAATCATTACATAAGGAAGTGTGTGTCTGTACTGTTGAACCCCATACATGATAAATTAAGAGAATATTTGGCATTACCCTTTTCAGACAATAAAATAAAAAAAAAAACATAAGTTTGTGCTTATGGCATCAGGTCGAAAAGAGGGCTGGCAGGAAGGAAGCACCAACTCTACGTTGTAATCTTTTGCTTTGAAAAAAAGTTCATAAAATGATTTGCAAATATTAGTCCTGATTTTCCACTCTGCCCACATTAACAGTGAATCCATGTTCCTATGGAGTTACCTTTTTGTTTTTCTTTTTTTTGGTATAGGTAACTTATAGCTCAGTAAAAAGCTGTAAAATATTAAAAGTCCTAACCTGAAACCAGGTTTTCATAAACATTTTTAGAACTTTAAATCTCTATACTCAGAACTGTGACATACACTGTAAAAATCCATGCACTAAATATTTGCAAAATTGTTTTAAGATTATGTTGGCAGAATTTCAGAAAACTTTTGACAACCCCTGTGATTATTTGATCCTAGCCAAACACTGGAAATACAGGTTGAAAAGTTATTGCTCAAAGCGCCTTTATACCAGCAAGGACAGACGAAGAATTAAAAATCAATTTTATTAATAGAGATCTTGGGGAATGTAGACCCAAGCTGAAATATTTGCTTTGAGCCTTAGAATTTGTCTGCTTACATCTTCTTAGAATAATAAACTTCTTTGTTGAGTGGATGTAAGAGATAAGTAGATTGACTCTGAATGTAAGCACTTAAGCTCTCTTTGTATGTCTTTATTAGTCTATCAGATAAAATAAAATTACACTTGGGGCTGTGCTCTTATATTAGGCAATTCCAGTCAGCAAACAGATGGAAGGACCACATCCTCATGACAAGAAAAGACACAAAAAACAGGTGATATGGTTCACTGTTCTAGGACATCGCTGCTTACTAATGGTCACTTTGGCTGCTCAGCACGTATTAAGAATGGCAGCTCACATTTCTGCAGTGCTCCACTCCATCGTGGACTTTCTGTAGACTAACTACCCATGAATCACATTCTGGCACTAAAATGTATTTCACTGCTCTCTGTGCCCTCAGTTCTGTCACCATCCCACTGTCGCACATTTTCCAGTCAAAATCACTGGTGAAAAGTTCGCTGATGAAAAAGTTCCTGTTGCTGATTTTGAAACAGGATCCTTCCTTGACTTCGAAGGATGAAGACCTTTGTACTGCATGTGTGTTTGCAGTGTTGGTAGTGATCTTCACGTACCTTTGACACATATAGCAAGAAATATATATAAACTGCAATGCGAATAGAGCAGAATGTTATTATTGTACCTAAATGTTTAAGAAATTATAATTTGCAAAATATAATAAACCTCAAAATTACATTTATAACATCTAAATCATCTTTCAAGCATAGTTGATGAAAATCTGTTGCAGTCTTAGTAAACTATGTTTATTTTTTCCTTTTCTTTGATTCTCCCCCTCCTCCTCTTCCTCACTTTCCTCCTTTTTAATTTAGGCTGTAACAAGGGAACCTGAGAAGTCACAGTCAACTAAGGTAAATGATTTAAATCTTCTAGTAGCATATTTGGATTCTTTTAAACAGTAATTAATAACCTGTTTCCTATACTGCTGCTATGGCATAGAGATTTCTCAACTGATTTAATTAACTTTGGACTACTTTTTTGAATGTGATTGTGATCTATATGTATGTTGTTACAACATTAAATCCATGTGAAAGCATAGCATTTCAAAGACAAAGCAGTATTTTTCAGAAGGCATTTTGTTCTAATCTCAATTTTTTAGAAGTAAAATAATTGTAAAAAGAAATAAAACAAGAGAAACCAGGGAGAATAAACAAACAGTAGCAAGCATCCAGTTAGAGTCCACTGAGACACCAGCAAGATGAGTCTGCTGAATCTGAAACCTAGAGTGAGTTTTTCTTGAGAGCCCAGCTGAGTGACTCTTCTTCGAGGTCTTACCTAGGTCAGTGCAGCTGGTTATCAGGTACGTAAAGGACAGTGCTCACTTCCCCTTGAGGATGGTTTCTTTTGGTATGTGGACTCACGACTCTCCAGGGGAAGTCCAGAGTCATTCTATGAAAGCAGATCCCAGCATATTCCAGAGTACAAATGTTTCTCTTCAATACAGTGGTGTGTTTTATTTGTTCAAGTGGTTAAGCAAATAGATAAGACCAAAGGGTTTCCTGTAGAAAGCACAGAGATGCTTTGGGCTGAAGTACCTTAAGTACGGGTGAGTGTGACATCCTTTGAAAGGCGAGGATTATGATGGTAGGTGGTCTGTCGGTGGCCCCTGAGGACTCTAGTTGTATAGTGGATCCTAGAATGAAGACTTGCGCAGCCAGCTGGAAGTTGTTTTGTAGTCCTTACTTAACTGCTTCTGGTTATCTACTAAATCTCAAAGTAAATCTCTAGTTAGTGATGTGATCTTCTCTGTAAAAAAGCAAAACCCCTGTAAATCAGTAAACTGAAGAAACTACTGCACTCTCCATTTTTTGGAAAGATTTTTTTTTTTCAAAAATTAATTGCTGTTATGGGCTTTCTGGTCAACAAACCTAGAGGTTTCCCCAGTCATTTGACATCTTTGTAGATAGACTTGTAGTTGCCAGTTTGTCTGCATGAATTATGAAAAACAGCTATGAAAATATGTTTTTGAAATCATCTTTTTAAATATTCAATGCTCCATTCTTATTCTAATAATTCCTATTAGTGGAGATTAGTAGTAGGATTACTGTTGACTAGACAGCACTTATTTGCTTTAATTCCAAAGAATCACATCTGAGTGAGCTTTTCTTGCAAGAGACAGAATGATTTAATTGAAGTTTTTATTCTTAAGCCTTTTTGAAAACAGGGAAAAAATGTTCCCTGCTGTAATTGAAGTTTTAATCTTTTGAAATTAACAGCTGTCTGTGGTTCATGAGAAAAAGTCGCAAGAAGAAAAGCCAAAGGAACATGCAAAGGTAAATGGTTGCCACTAGGACTGATATTATAAGGTTATATTTTTTTGTTTTTTTAAGCTCTTATCATTTGAGGTAAATTCTGAGTCTGGATGGTTAAATATTTGTGGGGTTTTCAGCTAAAATAGTGCCACCATGTGGCAATAGCAGTGTTTACAGTTTACTCAAGTGATTCTGGGAAGGAATTGCACTATTTCAAATTTTGTGTCTAAAGTAAGCTTTATCACATTTGTATCATACTAATTCAAATTCACAATTAAAATCACAAACATCACAGCTATTATAAATTGCTATTATAGAAATAAAAGTATCAGTATTGAGCTGAAAATACCATCATGTTAACAATATCTTTGTATGTGTGTGTGCATGTGTGCTTTTAGCCAAAAAGCCCACCCCAGCATGCATCAGATGTAGGAAGCAAGCCTGCTCCTAGTGAAAAAGCAGCTTCCAGATCAAAGGAGCAGCTGACACAGAAGTCAACAGAACCAAAGGTAAATGAAACAGGTTCATAAATACGCAAACAGTGTCCTCGGCTGCCATTAAGATTTGCTTTCCTGATCCACATTGCAGTGTGTAGTAGAATCTGTGGGGATATGCTGAATACATATTTGTACGGTAATGATTTGGTGCTGCTGTTTTATTGGTTTTCCAAGTAGTTTTATTGCTACTTGGGATTATGGAAGGTCTGAAAGGGGCGTTAGACAAGGCTTGGTAAAGTGCATTGTCGGGTTTTCTCCCACTGCTCAGCAATGACAGCCGTGACTATCAAGCAGAAGGCTCTGTGTTTCCCATACAGGGGACTCTGAACTTCTTTTAACGAGAGATAGGCTCTTAGGGTTGTCTCCTGCCTTTTATTTTCTTTTCCTTTTTTTTTTTTTTTTTCTTTTTTTTTTTCAGACAGGGTATTGGTAGTTGCCCAGTCTGACTCAAGCAGTCCTCCTGGGTCAGCCTCCTGAGGAGCTGAGACTACAGGTGCACATCAATGCACCCAACCTTGCCTGCTTCCTTCAATGAAAGTTGAAGAATTTTTTAGAGTCTTGTTGCAGAAAAGATGAATTTTCAGAGGCAAAAAACAATTAAGAAATCAGTTCCCTAATTTTAAAGTTAATAGTAGTCAGCTTGTAGAGGAATAAATATCAATGAGTAGAAATCTTTGAGAAAATTTAGAAGACTATAGTTAGAACTATTTCATCATATGTTTTATGCCAGAGATCACAAATTTGAAACCAGTTAAATTGCAGGCACATGTGTATTTATTTGGTTTACTGCATTGTTCAAGTATTTTTAATTAGTTCCTAGGAATTAAAGTTAGAATGTTTCATATAAAACTCCAATTGCTGTCTTTTCTTGAAAAAATTCAGAGTAAGCATAATAATGATTCTACATTGTAACAGTTGACTACAGCCATGGTACCCGGTGTATATGCTCCAGTTTACCACTCACTTGCCTGCCCTGACTTGCCTATCATGGGACTGCATAGACCCCATGGGCTCTGAATTCAGGGATGTGAGGTGCCCAGCATTGCATTATGTCCAGGAGGGCACACTGGCAGGTCTAAGTGACATTGGAAACTTTCTTGTTCTTGGCAGTAGTCTTTCGGAGGTATTTAGTCTTGTCCATCTTTTCTCTCCACTGGCAGGCTAAACCACAAGCTACTGTTCCTGCGGGTAAAGAGAGTGCTGTTGCTGGTGTGGCTGCAACTTCTGGCAAACCAGATGACAAGGTGAGCTTGCCAACATAAATATAGGCCTCTGTGCTTATCAGGATTCTTTTATAAGAAACATACCCAATTTTGGTAAAACTGAATGGGGTTTCTGGGCCAAAGTTTGTGAAGAAGAGCAAGCATTTAAGACATGCAAAGTGAGCAAGATACTAAAAAAAAAAAAAGATTCTAAAATTCAATAAACATATGGTGGACCTGCTGTATGTAAGGCCCGGTATCAATGCTAAAGAAATTACAGTGTGAGCTGATTCAGATCCTGCCTTCCTTGATGTATTAGGTATGAAACAAAGCACACAAAGCTTGAGTAAGAATTACCTTCTGCTTTCAGTGTTGATACCAGCTACCTAGATACCGCTAAATGACACACATTCACTGCAGCATTAGTATGAGTTGACATGGGAGGTTCCCAAAGGAGACATGGCAAGAACACAAGGATAAGATGCCAGGCCTTCCTTCCAGCCTCAGATGCCAGGCTGGGAGTGTGAGCAGAGAAAGAATCTGTCTTTTCTGCCTGAGTAGGACAGGGATAGCTGTCACTTCAGAGGACACGTGATCATTTTGAAGCTATAGGTGAACAATTGAAAAATCATGAGGAGGTGAAAATATTTAAAAAAAAAAAAAAAAACAATGTATTTTTTATATTCCTGCTTCTCAAAATGGGGAAGGTGTTGGCTAAAGCATAAGGAGAGTCACAGGGGAAAAGTTTGACATACTGTCCTTTTTTAAAAGATCTTTTTTCTCAGATTTTAAGAGATAAGCCACATAATTTTTACTCAGACTCATACAGCTCTCCTATGGTATTAAAACACAATTTACAAAAATTTTTGAATAGAAGCACCCAACTTAAACATATTCTTGCAACAGATCCCTTGTGTACTTTTTCATCTCTCATCCTCACCCAAGGGATACATACTGTTTATTTTCTTGTACCAGTAAAAGGGTAGTTAAGTGAAATGGCTGGAAAATAGATGGATTTAGGGCAGAGCATTACCTATGTTAAAACGGATTTTAAAATGCAATCAAAATTTGAAGTTTTATGATGGTTGTAAGTTAACCGGTGTTATCAGTGAAAGCTAAATGATAAAGTTAGGAGAGGTTTGTATGGTATTCTTGAGCTCTGGATCCTGCTGGAACTTGCATTTTGTTTTTCTTTGGCCCTGATTCTTCTGTTAAATAGAGTTGATCAGATCTACTATCTTGTTTTAGTATATAGCATGTTTAAAGCACTGCGATTGACCCTGCAAAATAGCTATCTGCAGACTGGCCTATCCAGGGTTTCTTCTGGAACCATAATTCAAGGCAGATTATGGGAGGCTCCTGATGCAGCTGTTTGCAGGACAGAGGGATTTTGTCTGATTCAGGAAATCTACAAGTGCTTTGAGAGGGTGGAGGCCTCAGAGTTAAGCATGGAAGGGGGGCTAGGACTAAAGGCTTGCAAATGCTTTAAGGTTCTGAAACGTTTCCATGTGTTGTGGGCACAAAGTGCATTCCAGTGTAGGTGAAGCTTGAGGAGGTGAGTGCTGGGATTGAAAGACCAGAAAGACAGGTTAAGGCTGCCCTGAAGAATGTAAGTTGGGTTTCTACTAGGCAAAGATAAAAAGGTGAAAGGTTGGTCAGGGGCCGTTTTAGTCATTCTATGAGTCATAGTTTAGCCTAAATTGGACCTGAAATGAGTTAAGAAAGTGGGAGAGTTATACAAGAGACACTGCAGAGGTGAATAAAGCCTTCAGGCTTTAGGAAGGCCAAAGTGGGGAAGGCAGCAGTTTGGCCAAAGTGTGTAAGAGCAGAGTAGACAAGATGACTGGAGGATTTGGAATCTGAACTAAGTTCATCATTCCAAGGGAAGGCTGGGGCAGGGAAGAGGGCTGAGAAGTGGGCGTCGTCAGGGGTGAGTGTCTCTGCATTGACACTGGGGAGAAGCAGGTACCCTGAGGGAGGGGTGAAAGATAGTATAATGTGGAGGATAATGGAAAGAAAATCTAGGTAGACCAAGCTCCAATGTTTAGGAGCTATGTGGGGGGGAAGGCGACCAGGCCTGGATCACAGCAACCCACCCCCAGCCCCACTCCACGCAGGCAAGGCTGGCTTGGGAAGGAAGGGGAGGACGAGACTGAGAAGGACCTGTGTGTGACCTGCTGAAGGATGGACTTGTGGTTACTCTAACCTCCCAGCTACCCAGGCCAGTGACACATATGCGATCTGGGACTCCGAGAAACTGAAAGCAGGAAGATAGGATGGAGGGCAACAAAACGCACTGGCATCCTGTAACCAATCGCTGGGGTGCCTCGGGGCCCTGGCACTGTGGGGAGAGAAAAGGCAAATTCACACAGAAGAACCTGAGTCACTGGTCCCCACACCAGGGAGAGTGCTGTTTGTGGGACACTCAGCATGCTACCTATAATGGCCCTTGTGCTCCCCGGAGGCGCTCCCAGCACCTCCCAGCTGGGGCCTGCAAAAAGCAGGGAGACTGAGCCATGACCAACACAGAGGGGAGTTCTGTGGGAGTAGGGACCAGGCCGGACCCAGGTCAGGTTCCAGATGGTGGAGCCAGAAGAAATCAGGCACACTTGTATTTGTCTCCAAACACCAGGTGGACTGAGGTGCTGCCCATAGCCCCATGCTGGCCAAGGGGGCTTTCTGCCAAGTCCAGGTACAGCCCTGGGTTCCCTGAGGGGCTTTGACAAACACACACTGGTGGTAAATGGAGCCTGGGCCATTCTGACCGAGTATTAGGGGTAGCACATTCGGGTTAGAGCTGGGAGTTCCGTCTGTAGGCAGTGGTTTTCCACAGGGAAGGATTAGATCTGCAGAGAACTGGCCCCCACTGCAGGTTTGGAAAGAGTTTTATGAATGGACCAGACATAGGCTGCCCATGGGACAGGATTTCTGTGTCTTTAGGGAGAGTAGCTAATACCATGGTGAGTGGTTTGAAGCCAGTTGCAAACCATATCTTGCTTCAGGGAGGATGTGAGGGTACAGGTTTTGGGGAAGCATTGTAAAGGGGCCTGTCTCTGAGGCTGGTGCTGGGAACCCAGAGTCAGGAAGCCTGCTAGGCTGAGGAATAACAGGTATCTGAGTGACTGTCTCGGGGAGAGGGGCTGTAGATTAAAATATAGTTGGCATCTTGAAGCAGTTTACTGTTGGGAGGTGGAGTCTGTTGAGATCCAGGCTGAGAGCTCGGATGAGTAAGTAGGGCCTGTCTGTAAAGTCTGAGCAGGAGTTTCTAGAATTGAGTGCATGGCCCGAGGTGGGTTCGCTGTAAGTAAAGGTGAAAAGTAGTAAGGTGGAGAAGCATGGAATATGTGAAGCAGGAAGGAGGATTTTGGAAAATGATTCTTACTCAGAGCTTAAAAAGGAGTCCTATCCCAGCAGGGAAAGGGGACACTAGGGAACCGGAGCTAAGAGTGAGCAGTTTAAGGGTGCTATCATGTAGAGATGAAAAGGCTGGTCATCAACTAAAGATTTAACTGAAGTTCTCAAGGATGTCAACAGTGGGGAACAAAGCCCCATGTGAGGAGACATGAGATAGACTTACACTCAACCAGAAGAGCCCCCCTGGGCTCTCATGTGGGCACAGGCTAGAGGTATAAGAGCTGTGAGCCCTGCCAGTCAGTCTCTGGCTAGAACAAGTCCCATTAGGCCAGCAGGGAAGGGCATGGGAGCAGATGGCCCTACCTCCATGTCAGAGCAGGGACAGTCCGTTTCTCAGGGGCTGTTTGTGTAAGGGACAGGGTTTTGTGGAGGCTGCAGATTTGGGTTTTGCTTTACCCAGTTGCCCCATTTTGTCACATTACAAGCAAGGTCCAGGACAGTTACTTTGCTGTTGTAATTACTGGCCAGAGTGTCGCTATGAAAAGCCAGGATGCAGACTTATTGGAGGATTTTTTTGGAGACCTCTCCATAAACCCTGAAAGCAGTGATCAGGAGCTTGACTATTATAGGCATTTGAGAACCATCCTTGATTTTTTTTTCCCCCTCTGCTTTGTCCTGGTGTCAAGGTGCTTCCTGGGACATGAAATAGAGTCTGGAGAGAAAGTTACCTCCTTTGACTGAGGACAGGTTTAAGCAGGTATAAGCTTTTAGTGCCTTTATGAGTCAGCCCATAAACTGGGCTCGGCTCTGGGAGCAATCTTGATAAAGCTTTGGGGGTTATTAAAATTGGTGGTCTTAATGAAGGGACAGGTGAAGCAGCTCCTGCCCAGGAGTGCAGGTCAGCCACCTGCAACCCTCATGGATCCTTGGGGACTTCCTAGAGATAAAAGTAGGGATGCCTGTCCAATCTCTCAGGGATCCATGTCCTCTGATGGGGCCAAGCCCCCAGAGAATCAGTCCAGGTCCCTAGTCTTGTCCAGGGGATACCCTGAAAAAGCTACAGGCCCCTGACCATTCTCTTTGGGAACATGAGCTCCCATATTTCTCAGATTCCAGCCGATTCCCATTTACACTGTTTTCCCCCAAATCTATCATGTCTCTGTCTGTAAGGATACATCTTATTTTATTCCATCTCAGCCTTGCCTAAAGCTAATGGCCTGAATTCAGTAAGTTGGATTTCCAAATTTTCCATGACTTTGATAACTACTTGCAGAGAAGTATAAAATAGCAAGAAGTCTCTTATCTCCAGGCCTTTTTCACTCTCCTCTCTTGTCCCTCCTAATATTTATTCTGTTCTACCTCACACCAGATAGTAACACTCATAGGAAAGCCAGCAGTGGAGAAAGTGGGGCAGAAAATAAAGAGTAGGGCGATGGCAGACTGAGATGATCTCTTGGCTCCTAGCTGTTTGGTGTAAACTCCCAACTAGCTCACCAGGAGCAGCAAGGTGACCTGGCTGATTGCCGTGGCTGGCAGGATTCCCATGGTCTGAGGTTCCAAGTTAGCGACTCTGCCTGGAGAAATGTCTAGAGAGTCTGTCTTACCACAGTGTGACCTTGTCTTCCTGTCAAGTGGTCTTTTGGAGGCACCAGACACAGAACAGTCACAATCCAGAACTGCTTTCCAAT